CCTCCTTAGGCCTCCTTGGGCCTCCTTGGGCCTCCTTAGGCCTCCTTAGACCTCCTTAGGCCTCCTTAGACCTCCTTAGGCCTCATTAGGCCTCCTTAGGCCTCTCTAGGCATCCTTAGGCCTCCTTAGGCCTCCTTGGGCCTCCTTGGGCCTCCTTAGGCCTCCTTAGGTCTCCTTAGGTCTCTTTAGGCCTCTTTAGGCCTCCTTAGACCTCCTTAGGGCTCCTTAGCCCTCCTTAGGCCTCCTTAGGCCTCTTAGCACTCCTTAGGCCTCCTTAGGGCTCCTTAGCCCTCCTTAGGCCTCCTTAGGCATCCTTTGGGCTCCTTAGCCCTCCTTAGGGCTCCTTATCCCTCATTAGGCCCCCTTAGGGCTCCTTACCCCTCCTTACCCCTCCTTACCCCTCCTTAGGGCCTTACCCAAAGTATTAATATCAACCTCGCATCAGGATAATTTAATTACGAGCCGAAGTATCACGTTATTTACGAGCCGAAGTATCACACCCCTCCTTACCCCTCCTTACCCCTCCTTAGGGCCTTACCCAAAGTATTAATATCAACCTCGCATCAGGATAACCTTAATTACGAGCCGAAGTATCACGTTAATTACGAGCCGAAGTATCACGTTATTTACGAGCCGAAGTATCACGTTAATTACGAGCCGAAGTATCACGTTAATTACGAGCCGAAGTATCACGTTAATTACGAGCCGAAGTATCACGTTAATTACGAGCCGAAGTATCACGTTATTTACGAGCCGAAGTATCACGTTATTTACGAGCCGAAGTATCACGTTAATTACGAGCCGAAGTATCATGTTAATTACGAGCCGAAGTATCACGTTAATTACGAGCCGAAGTATCACGATAATTACGACCCGAAGTGTCACGTTAATTACGAAACATTTTGAATTACGATGTAAAGACGTACGTTACGGGCAATGAAACTTTACAACTGAATTTGATTTACGGCCCAATCAACTTCCCACACGATCAAGAGTTATTTTTGATAGTGATAACACCTCATACTGAAATGCCATTTCCCGGACTTTGGGGAGAGGTTTTACCGAATTCTGGTGGTCAGAAAACGACATTGTAACATATCAGAGGCCCTGGCCAATGTTTTTGCTCTACAGCCCGGCTGAACCTGGCCCCCGCGGTTCTCCTGGTCCGAGCCCATAGTAGTTACGCCACTGATTATGACAGTGGCGTAACGTTTTGCTAAGGGCTCCGGCTTAAATGGGGGTGATTGCTCTAGTCCTAACATTCAAGGGGTGGCGGTTACTCCAACAAGATGTACGATTTGCGGAAATACGACAAACGAACACAGTTGTTTTGACAAGTCTGGAACAAGTTGTTATCATCACCTAGAGTCTAGACCTTGTTACATGCAACGTCGGTTGAACAGACTTGACTTGATAGTTGTTCCAACAAGGCTAGCACAGGATAACAGACTTGATACAAGTTGTTCCAACAAGGCTAGCTCATATTCACCTGAGTACACTACACCAACACAGAAAAAATTCATATTACCACGAGGTTGTTGTCATCAACTTGTCACTTGCAGACGATATGAGACAGGCTTGTTACTGACAACTTGTTGCGAGTCTGTTGGCCTCATCAACCTTTTTAATTATTAACAAGATGATAACAACTTGTTCCAGACTTGTCAACTACAACCAGGAACAAGTAGTGCGAACACATCTTCAGATTAGTGACAAGCTGTGAGATTTTTACCCGCGAGGTAGTCTGAGATTCTATTTAAGTTATGGTGAAATCGAGACAGTCTCGACATCATACTTTTGCTACGTGACATTTGAAATGCACAAACTGCATGCTGTGAGTGCTTGTAGCGTCGACCATGACCCATCAGGCATCAGTTGCATCAGATGACGGAAGGTATTTCGAGTAGCACGGCGGGACATTTCTTTCAGCATATTTATATATTCATGTACATGTTTATCCGCTAAACTTACATTTAGTAGAGAAGAGCTATTACTTTCCTTGTGCATGCCATATTTACATTGTAAGCTATGAAAACAAACCGACTCCATTTAATCGATTGTTTTTGGCGTCTGCTTCATTGTGAAAGCAATTAGTCTGTTTGCTTACCTCTGGCAGAATATTTGACAGTTTATCAAAAAGCAAGCTTTATACTAGTATTTTATCATTTATTATTGTCTTTAATGTGCAATTCACTGAATTTTGCTGTAAGTTTGCTGTTCACACTTTATACAACCTTGACATGCATCTAACGAGCACTGTCTATATGATCTATTAATACTGGCAGGACAGTGCATATCTGGATGTGGAATGAACAGACAGTACTCGTATCCAAGCGAAGGCGCTGTTGTCAGAGGACAGAGTAAAGTAGAAAAGGCAAAATATGTGCACACTGAAAACAACTTAAGACGGACTCTTGAAAACATCAGTGAATCATTCAGACGCACGAACAAACGTTTGAGCGACGAGACTGATACACTCCGTTCAGAATTGCTGAAGCTGAGACAAAGTGTTGAACAAATACAGCAAGAAAAGATGAAGAGAAAGACGGGTGAATATCATAAGAGGCGGCCATACCAAGCTGAAAGATTTCTTGCTGACGAGAATGTTGTCACTCTGAGACCTTTCGGCGATTCCAATTCAAAGTTTGTTACCCAAAGAAAGTCTTGGGCTAAAAAGCAAAATCAAAGACGTTTGGCCCCTATCAGGTTACATCAAAACAAACCAAAAGACATTGACAACGAAGAGGAAATATTTATATACGATAAGAAAGAACAACCAAAGACATTGCCCGAAGGGACAAAGGTAAAGCAGGCTGCACCATTCAAGTTACCTAAAATAAAGACTTCTCTTTGTACGAATGACGAGCCTTTTACAAGACGGAAAGAAACAGACATAAAGAGAATTAGTAAAGACAATCAAACTTCTAGATTACAAAAACATATGTCAGTTGAAGAGAGGAAAGTTTCTCCTAATCAAACGCGGTACTTGGAAGTTCCAAGAATTCCTGTATGTGACTTATTAATGGATGTTCAAACCTATGAGTCCAGGGGCAGAGCAAATATCATGCAGAGCAGACCGCACTTTCTACCCCCTCTGGATAAAATTACAGAAGGCGAAGTTGCGGAGCTAAAATCAAGTTTTCCAGCAGATGAAATGAATTTGGTTGGAAGTGACAAGAGTCTCAGTGATGAGAATAATTAATGCGAGGATAATTAGAACTGTTCACACCGTCATCGTGTGTAAGTACAGAAGTCAGAACATAATTAAGTAGCATATAAAGTTCAACAAAATCGAGAAGTTCGTCCAAACGTCGGACTCAATTGAACTTAATACAAGCATTCAATCTCTTTTGTTTGTTCTGTTCATAATATATAAAAAATACTATAAAACACCAGATCTTCGGATCTTGTTGGTTGGATCTTGTTGGATACGATAAAAATATATTCGCTGATGCACCGTACATCTTTATATTTTTGGACTTAATCCTTCAGCTAGTTGAGGAGTTTTAGGTTAATAATTAATGAAAAAGTGAGGACGAGTTGTTGTGAATGTGATAAGTGATAACTTATCACGTTCACAATACTGATAGCGCAATCACAAGTCATTGCAAGCTCGAAAGTTAAAACGGCCGCCGAATTTTCTTCAGGTTTTGTTTTCAATTAAAGTCACGTCACTGTACCCAGGCCAATATCACTACTTCCTCTACATGTACTCATATCTTACTTCTTCAGTTCAATGATCAAACATGAAGTGCTGTAGATCAACTATTTTTAAGTCTATAAAACCAAGACGAAATAAGACGTTTTGATGCCCTACCCACCTGTATAGTGTATACAGGCGTGTTTCCGGTAGGCAGGAATCTTAATGAAGCAAAATAATCTGGGATCTAGTTTGCAAAATAATGAAATTGAATTTCGAGTTCATAACAACATGCAAGATAATCTCGTACGAGATTGCAATCGGTTGGTGAATCTGGGTTGCCATCAGTTGGTGATTCTGGGCATCAGTTGGTGATTCTGGGTACGAAATTACCATCACTCGATCCATCAGTTGATGGCTCTGGGGCCCAGGCTCTGTTTATGCCCGCGTCTAGCCTTTCGCAGTTTGATCAGAGATAGCAGATTTAATTGTTTGCAGTTCTAAGTCTTAAATAAAGCGATATGAATAAAATGTAAGTGGTTGCAAATTAGTTGTAATCCCTTGATCCGCTGTAATCTATTTTGTCCTGTAATCAGGGATCAGCGCCACACGCTAGGTTTAATTTCGATCAATATATATTGTATAAGAAAGCTTCGGCAACTAAGTTTTAGGTGGTGGTGATGATTTTTGGCTATCTTTCTCTTCAAAGACTTGATATGCTTCCATAATATGGATTTCGGCAACACTTGCTCTTTCTTACACTGAGAATAATGTATGAAAGAAATAGCTATACACATTGTTCCATGGTTTCTGACTCTTCCACAGTCCGTTATCCGTACACGCGGTCGCGATTCCATTAAGCACCGCGCTCCCATTGTTTCCCCACTGATCTCTATTCCAAACTGAAGCGACGAGGGTCGAGGCAGCCATGGTTTGACAATACGCTTAAAGTACAATGATTCATAAATAGTAGTTCTACTACCCTGGTTCCAGAGGCTCTTTGCGAGGCGAAAGAAACGAGAGATGTTCTCGCCTCTCGTTTCTTTCGCCTCTGGAACCAGGGTATAGTTCTACACAAAGCCAAAGGGATTTGAATTGAAGCATTGACTGAGTCGGCATGTTTCCAATTATGAGTATATTTTAAAATAACTCTACCTTGCAAGTAATATTCAAAAACACAGAATGTGTTTATATGATCATTCTTTAATGTGTAATAAATATTTTCGCTGTTTTACATTATTATTTATAATTATATAGTTTAAACATTGATACATATCGACCAAACCTTTGTACAGTAAACTACAGTAATAGCAAGTGCAGAATACTATAGTAAATTTTAATATGAACTTGCAGGCATTTTTCGCCCAATCCTAAATCGGTGCTAATAATACCTACCTATAATATGAACAGGTTTGTGATTAGTTTTTTGAAACAAAAGCGATCATTCTTCATGATTCGTTCTTTAGAAATATGATTTCTATATTTTATTGTTTCTTATTGTCATGATCAACCAATCACAAAGCCTGTTATAAAGGCAGGTACTGACCGTAATCATAGTCAAAAGAATAAGGTTAGGAAACTCGATGCAGACATAATAGACATCATTATTTCGCCAGAGCAACCACCAGCTATATTTTCATTTAACATTGTGTAATATCACGAATGGGTAATTAAACCAACACACTGCTATTGGTTGGTTGGTTGGTTGAAAAAACAATACACACGTGACGATGAACCGGCCATTTTTTTGCATAAACCAAGAAAAAAAACATAGATAATCAAGTCTACTATGTCTGCATCGAGTTTCCTAACCTTATTCTATTGACTATGCCCTAATGTTTTGCCAACCAACTTACATCAAATACTTCATATTATTAATTAAAATAATTTCACGACTTACAAAAGAGCAAGGACCTCAAGATAGTGATGCATTATGGGACTGTTATAGGTCTTGTTAGGGACAATAATCATGTGTGTTAATTTGGGCTGCATTGTTCCCTGTACCAATCCCAAGATGCATCACTTATCCTTGGTCTCTTACTCTATTTTCAAAATGGCTAATTCAGAGCAGTCGCTCTAAAAACTACAAAATGGAACTCATATCGCGAATTTCAGTTTAATCCTTAAGTGGAACGTTGACCGTTTGGAGGAACTTTCTGTCTCTTGTGCTATATTCCAAATCGGTCATGTTGTTGTGCATTTCTTCACCATAAGTTGTATCATACAATTCGAAATTTTCCAAGTTCCCCCAACATCCAAAAGCTAATTTGCAATGTGCAACATTAATATGATGCGCTATACACTCTTGCGCATTTCTTATTTTTGCTCCTATTTTTCTTTTTTATGTTCCGCTATGGCCAATTCAAAGCTAGTACAACACTGTGTAACATTTACAAAACGTGCTTTATACATTCTGGAATTTTCTTTCCTATACTGCTGGCACCACTCGATTATATTGCCGTGCTGTTGCATGTGCGTCTTTGACCAAAATTGATTCATTCATTTATGATTTACTAGACATTTTGCAATATTTCAAGGAAAATTTCAGTAATAATCCAGTGACAACACAACCACGATACTTTGTACATTCCTGTCTGTTTCCTGCATCCTTTGATCGTATTGCTGTTTGCATGTGCATCCTTTGACCATATATCAATTCATGCAATTTTATCAAGTCTTTTTAGTACCGCTGTCTGGCTTATCAAAACTCATTGCACTCCTTAACTTCTTGTCGTCACTATGAATTACCTCAAACTTAATCTGTCCGGCAGGTGCCGTTTTAAACCGTTCTGGAGACAACGCACGTCTCAGTAGTGGTGACGCAGGTCTGTGAGAGGGTGACGAGGACACATTGAGTGTTCTAGGGTGAATTGGGGATAAGGAAGTTCGAGCAGCTAGCGGTGACGAGCTGCGTTTTGAAGACTTTTGGTGAGACGGGGAGACCGAAGGTGATGGCGTTCTTGCTAGCGGTGATAGTGGAGCTTGTGTGGAAGATTTCCGTCTGCTTAACTGTTTAGAATTGTAGTTATGCAACGCACCTACATAAAGAACACGATATTAACATTATAATTTAGAACAGCACAAGATGATATACTGTAACGGTACAAGAACAATCGCTGACTCATGCATTACTTTTTAACAGGATAAATGACACAATCATAATATTGAATGAGTATATGTATAAATTAGAATTATGTACTACACACGTAAAAATCTCACAACTTGTTCAACAAGATGTGTTCGCAAGAGGCTTGTAGCGCTTGTCAACAAGCTGTAACAATGCTGTTATTTTATCAAGTTGCTACAAGCTTGTCACTCACAACTTTTTGAATTGCAGAACGATAACAAGTTGTTGGAACAACTTGTAACAAGTCTGTTGAACTCAACAATCTTGTAGCAAGTTTGCGATGTTACTCTGAGTGCATATCCACACCGGGCGAGCTTGAAAAATATGCCCGGCCACGGTGGGATTCGAACCTACGACCTTTGGAATACTAGCCCAATGCTCTTCCAACCGAGCTACGCGGTCAGGACGGTTCGAGTAAGTGATATTTCGGAACAGTATCTAGTTCCTTCAATACCAATGTGTTCTTGTAATATGAATTTTTTTTCTGGGTTGGTGTTGTGTACTCAGGTGAATAATATGTTTGCGATGTTACTCTGAGTGCATATCCACACCGGGCGAGCTTGAAAAATATGCCCGGCCACGGTGGGATTCGAACCTACGACCTTTGGAATACCAGCCCAATGCTCTTCCAACCGAGCTACGCGGTCAGGACGGTTCGAGTAAG